GGAAAATTTGTAGACTACTTTGGTACGTATAATTAAATCCAATTTTTAGACAGTTATTGTATATTAAATTACTTATACGAAATTAAGAAAGCCCCGATCGTGTTGTAATTATTAAAAATTACTTGAGTCAATTTCGAGATATATTCGAATTTCATAACCCATCTGATCACGGACTTGATTCAATTTTGTCGGTACATGATGTTGATTATATCGAATATTTGAAAACCGCATATACTGAATGGTGTAATGAGGGTGGAGACAGGAATGGGGTTATACCAGAGACATTTGCACATAGCAAGATTTTAAACACCGCAAAGAATTTAAAAACAGTCAAATCATCATTGGCCAAGGCTGGGATTTATTGTTTTGATTTATCTTGTTGCATTACTGAAGGTATTGTTATTTTACCGATAAGTTACATAATATACCGTATATGGCTTTTTAAAGTACTTTACTTTTATGGATAGATACATGGGGGGCGGTTTATGAGTCGGCACAGGTTTGCATTAGTGCTGCGAAAGAACTTTTAAATTATAATTTAGAAAGATCTGGAGATATTGGTGTATTTGCACTCTGGTAAAGTCACACTTTTGAGTATTCTCTCATTTCTTTTTACTAACTTTGTACATAAATTTATGCAAAAGTCGACCTCCGGGCCATCATGCGAATAGTAATGTATGTGGTGGTTACTGCTTTCTTAATAATGTTGCGATCGCAACCAAGCTTTTAATTTATGATAATTCTGATGAGTTCAAAAATCAGAATAAAGTTGTTATATTGGATATTGACTATCATCAGTGAGTTCTTTTAATATAAATTGTTTTAATATAAATTAATTTTGAGTCATCATGCTTTTTATTGATTATACTAGTGGCAATGGAACACAAGATATTTTTTACTCTCAATCAAATCCATTGTATGTTTCATTTCATGCTTCCAATGATTATCCTTACTTTACTGGGGACGAATCAGAGGTCGGAAGTGGCGAAGGTGAAGGATTCAATATTAATATTCCTTTGCCCAAAGAAACTAATGATGAAGAATATGTAGAAAAGTTAAAAGTTGTTATCCAAAGTAGAATAATACCTTACAATGCAAATTATCTGATTGTTTCATTGGGGGGTAAATGACATATTTTGACATTTGTTTTATGAAAATATTGGAAATGATTGTATTTATATAAATTAATATATATTTTTTTATTTTAGTTGATACATATAAAGATGATCCTATTGCAGGGTTTGGGATCACAACTTTAGGGTATAGAAAAATTGGAAATT